TACAGTCGACCCCCGTATAAGATCATTGATTATTCCGTTTTATATGAATTCCATGTTGTACAAGTCACTTAAATTTTACAAATACGTGAGCCGTTCACAGCCCGGTACACGTATTTGTAAAATCTAAGTGACTCGTACAACATGGAATTCATATAAAACGGAATAATCAATGATCTTATACGGGGGTCGACTGTACTGAAAGAAAAAAGTTTAACTCTTCACATTAATGACCAATTTGAATTGGTTTCCAATATTAATCTGTTTTTTTTTTTCAACAAAAATAAATTGTTTTTGGTGTTTCTATTTGCTGTTTTATTTATAATCATAAAAAATTTTCAAGGTTCCAACATTTTTTACTAAAGTGAAAAGGGTTCCACAATAAAAATAAGTTGGAAACTACTGCTTTAGTTCAAAATTTCTTGAATGGAAGATTTTAAACAACATTTGAAATTTAGGAGCGTCTTCCACATGCACATCATGAATTTTTTTATTGGTTGTATAGCATTATATCCTTTCTGAAACTCATAAAGCATAATATGCCTGATATACCCTTTATGTAAAGACATTAAAACAAAATGTGAAGTAAAAAAGTTTAAAATAAGCTTATAAACAAAGAATACAATCTCTGGTTAGCATTAATATGTTAGATTTTACAATTTATAATTAAATTGCACATCAATGTTAAGTAACCAGGTCAGTTAAAAATATGCAAAAACTTTCTGTTCAACCTAATAGGCCTATAACCTTTACTTATTAATCATGGTATCCAAGAAGTATTTCAAAGTCTAAGAAGAAAGATATATTGTTGATTGATATAAAAATGGAACTTCTTGTGAAGCATAAAACTGGAATGCATTTGATGGATCTGGCAGCCATGTTTAAAATGTCGAAATCAATGGTGTGTGATCAGTAAATGCAATTTTCATTTTATTATACAGTTTTTGCATATTTTCTTTATTGTTTTTGTGTTTTAATTTATTTTAGGGTATTTAATTGTGTTATTTTTACCTTACATTATGTGTATTTGCTGTTTTAAGTTTATCAAAATGGATACTGTTTAGGATCTGGAAATGGATTAATTTGCTTTTCATAATTTAGAAATAATGGAAATACAAATTATTCCATTCCCATACCCTAAACAGTATCCAGATCAATTCTTCCCATTAGAATTGGAACAATTGATCCAGATTTCAAATGCTTTAGAGTTCAAATGGTCATTGAAATGAATTAAATTTGAATTATGAGACCACTGTAATAAGCTTTCTCATACTGATAAAGTGCCAGGAGGTTTCAACCGCTAAGCACCTGGGTTAGTAACTTTGTCAGTTCAAAATAGATGGACAGAAATGTTGCTTCCTTGAGAATTCAAGACAGATTTCCTCCCATTCAACCCATCCTCTTCATCCACCCACTTGCCTAGTATGTGCATGCCCATAACTTACAAGACAGGTGAACTTTCTCATCCATCCCATGCATACATTTACCTTAAAACTGACATACATATAATTTAGTAACAAATCTTTATAAAGGAATTGAATATTAAACAAATTTAAGTATATTTTCTGATATCATATTCTAAATGTAATTACTTTACTTTGGATAAGCGTTTTGAACTTACCGAAACACTCTGCAGCATTTAGAACCAAATTTATCTTGAACAACTGAAATAGCTATGGCTTCTGATAATTTCTGCAAAGATTTCTTAATATTAACTACATACATTCCACCACCTCTCTCATCTACTCTTGAAACAAATGATGTTGAATCATCAATTAAGACTGCAAGATATGCATCCATTTCCTAATATAACAAAATAAAACAAATATAATTAATATTTTTATTTTTGATAAATAATATAAAAAATAAATAAAGTCAATAATATAATACAGAAGTAACTGAAAAATGATACTATAAGACAGAAAATAAATTTTCTGTCTTATAGTATCAGCTTACAATTTAATTTAAAAAATATTTGGTATATTTCAAAATCAAAACTACAAATTTTAATTACATCTGCTGTAATATTACTCTCTTTTATCAACATCTGTAATAATTCATGGCGAGGAACAGGATTAGTTGTTTCAACCCAAGGATTACTTCTTGTTTCAACTAAATGTAATAATGCCCTTACAACGTCTCCAGTTTTGTTATCAAATCGTGATATCACAGCTTTAATAATGCATTGATCCCTAAATTAAAAACTGCATTATTTGCATATATTTTTAACAGTATGTATCAATTTACAGTTTGCTTAATTGATAAAATAATTATTAAGTTTTTGTACATACCTAAAATACTGATGAAATCTATCAAAATTAACTCTCCAATAGACAGTTTCTTTTGTTGAAGTGTTTCTTAATTTTAATTTCTTTGCTGGTGGTAATCCCTCATCATCACTTGCTTCATTGAGTGCATAAATTTCTAGCTGCTCATAAATATAGATATTTGATAATTGAAATATCTTGTAATGTTATGTAGTTTTATTCTGAATTAAAAACTAAAACATAAATTAACTATTACAGAAATATATTTATTTTGTATGTCTAATAATAAATAAAGTATTTAAAGTAAGTAATAAAGATAACCCTTGTAATTTTGTAAATTTTAATAAAGTATATTAAAATATTTATGCATTTAAGTAGAAAAATTAGATTAATAACTAACAGTAGAGTATTTTGAAAAGTATTATACAAATTGATGTCTAGAGAAGTTTTTTATTTCTATACTGTATTAATGTGAAAGTTAAGGTTGCCTAAAAATAAAAAATTCTCTGCTAGATAAAATAAATGAGTATAAAATTTATTTTTATTTCATGTATTAAAGATTTAAAGAAAAATTGTTACTATATTTTACTTTATACATATAACTATTACAAATAAATAATAATATTACTTACTTCACAAATTCTAAACATTTCATGTTCTTGAAGATACATGCTAGGGACAAGAGAGTTTTCTTCCCATTCTGTCATTGGACATCTCTTAATAAAATGAGACTGGACTAAATTATTAAATTTTTCCTTTACAGATGAAATAGGAATATCAGCTTTTCCTGTAATATTTTTATATTCAAATAAATACAAAAAGTTTATTTAAGTATATGTATATAAAAACTAGCCACTTTTCTCAGATATAAAATGATATACTTTAATGAAAAGTGTACAGGAGATAAAAATTAAAACAATAGTAAAGACTGGTTCTCAGTTCAATGACCACAACAGAAAAGAACTGTGTTTACAATTGAATTGAGCTCAATTTTTACCATGATTGCAAGCAAAAAATTAAGTACTGACCAATGCAAAAGCATTATTCAGTAGCATGCCGCAGTAATGAGAACAACTTTCATGTCAGTAAGCCATCTTGAGAACCAGCCTTACAAATAATTTTAAAAACTAGTTTAGATAAAGTAAGTTTTTATGTAATTTTCTTTTTTATTAAATTATTATAAAAATCTATGTACAAAAAATTTTCAACATCAAAAACTGAATGTGATCTTTAGAAAAAAATAATATATCATATTATTATACTGTAAATGATAATACAAAATATAAGTTTTTGACTTATTAAGTATTCTTTTTGTTATTAAGTATTGTTAATTGGCTGAAGTAGTGATAGAATATTTAATTAAAAGTGTAAACTTAAACAATTTTAAAATATTACTCCAATTAAAAGAGCATTAATTTTTTTTTAATATCTATAGTTATAAGTTATAATTCTTACATCTATTGCTTACACATTAAAAATTTTGGTTAATTTTCTCATTTCAACTAAATGTAATAATGTTCTTATTTTTAATTATTTCTGCTCTGTGGAGCACTAAGAGAGCCTTTTGTCAATGTTCATCATTGGTTTGACCAGAAAGTGAGGTATTGGCTCAACATATCCAGGACAGAACTCCAACAAAAAATTCCTAGAGTTCTTCACTTGGTAGTAGGCAGATGACTTAACTGCCTCAGCCATATAGCTGGTTGCATTATTTCTGATCTGATAACTATAAAATTTATATTATTTAAAATTCTATTTTAGACCAGTTATATTTTCTACAATTACATAACTAGACTACTTCATTTTATATTAATTACAATACGTGTATACTGTAGTAGCTTGTACTTCAGATGTGCCAGAGTTCTAATGTCAAATTCAACCTGGAGTTTGACTGATGCTCAAACCAAAGTTCAAAATGCACTTGCTGCATAAATGCCATCTGTTGTGCCCCAAGTTGTCTCTCACTCTTGCTGTGAGAGCATCTTTTGCATTACACTTATATGTTTTCAATATTTTCATTTTATTTTTTGTGTATTTGGTTATATATAAACAAAATCCTAATCTTGGCATCCAAGAAAAGTGTGGAAACAACAAAGCCTAAGAGGAAAGTTATACAGTAGAGTCTCAAAAACTCAGCCTAATGTGGACCGAAGGGTGGCCGAGTTTGTGAAAATGTTGGGTTATCAGGAATGGGGTTAAAAAAGATAAGTATGAGTGTTTCCTCAGAAAATACTGTACTGTACTTGTATGTATTGTTTACTTGAGAATACAACAGAGAATAAACTGCCCAAATACCCTTAAACAAAGGAAAAGTATGTCCTTTATTAAGGCATAGAGCCTTTACTACGTGAAAATGAAAATTAATGAATACACTGTGTACAGTAATTTACCTGATAAGACAGACCTTAGAAAAATACTTTATGAGGCATACAGCTATCTATAATGAAAACTAATTAACTAAGGATTTTTTTGCCCTGCCAGGGTGTGGCCAAGTTATCGAGTGCCGAGTTTTCAAGACTCTATTGTAATATCAATGATTGAGGTGAAAAAGGAACTTATTTCAAAGCATGAAAGCAGTACATATGTGGCAAATTTGGCAGCCATGTTTAAAATGTTAAAGTCAATAGTATGCATCATTCTTAAGAACAAGGAAACAATAAAAGCAGCAAATATAGTTAAAGATATAATAACATTGACCTCAAGGAGATTGCATGTTATTGAGAAGATGGAGAAACTCCAAGCGTGGATATTTGAGAAGCAATTGGCTGTTGATATTATCTCCAAGAGGATTATTTGTGAGAAAGCAAAGTAGCTGCATAATAAGCTTAAGAAATAGCATCACCACTCACTAAGACGACATACAGTAAATGCAGTTTTCATTTTATTGTACATTATTTATGTATTTTATTTATTGCTTTCATATTTTAATTTATTATTTAGGGCATTTAATTGTGTATTTTTACCTTAAATTATATGTACTTGCTGTTTATCAAAACGGGTATTGTTTAAGATCTTGGAATCTACTGTGAAAAACTGATTCAGACTTCAAACAATTCAGTTTTAACATCCTCTTGGAATGAATTAAATTTAAAGTATGAGGCATCAGTTGTGTGTTTTTATGTAATTTTTCAAATAAAATAATATATAAATTTGTAGTTGAATATTAACTACAAATACTGACAGGTGACATAATTTTTTGTTGAATATTTCAAGTTTAAAAAAATTTTTTTAAGCTATCCTGCTCCATTAACTCATTTCTTATTATAATTTTATTATTTTGGACTATTAATATTATAATTATTTATATAGCTTTAATATCTATCTAAATCATAAATTAACATAATTATCAAATAGGCATTTTATTTTACCATCTCCTGTTGCTTCAGCTAAACGTTCAGAAACTTTTTGAATGACTACCTCCATTGTCATCATTCCATTGTTCAATATTTCTTCTATAAGAAGTTCACCAATGTCACCATAACTGTAAATAAATCAATATGAGTATATATTTTTCATGTAATTTTTTAAATAAAATTATATATAAACTTCCAAACAAATTTTTACTAATAATTTTAATGAAATAATTTCATATATAATATGAACAACAACTCAATTTATTTGTATTGCCAAACCAACGAGATAGAATAACATAGAGTGCCAGCAGCAGTGTTTACAGTGTCAGTTTTGGAAGCTCATTGAAGAGAAGGAAGTCATGACAGTTTCAGGGTAGAAAGTGAAGCATACCGTACAAAATAATTATGCCACATTTTTGTGGCATAATTATTTTGTGGCTTCTATCAATTGTACCAACAGTTACAAGAAAGGTTCGGAAATTTCATTTCACAAGTAAGTTATAATTATTAATTAATTTTGCTCACAATATTCTTTTCTAAGTCTAATAAAATGTTTAAAGATTACTTTAATAAAAGTAAATGAAAAGTATCAAATTTACTTTGAAATGCTATCTAATTTATAAAAATTTAAATAATTAGAAATGTTTTGGATAGAAGCCTTATACATATCAAATTATGAATTTTAGAGTGGTTAATATCAGTGATAAGTAAATCATATTCCATTCTTATGATAATGAAATTTAAAGTAAAAATTTTCTTTGTCAAGTTTCCACTCATTGACTCAAGAAATGGCTTATAGTAATGCAACACAATCATTGGAAACCAAACAATAATATTAGAATTTACTCATTTCATTTTGAAGAAGCATGCTTCAGTTATAATAACAGTAGAATATATTTACAGCCAAATTCTGTTCCTACAATTTCATGCACCTTCTTTAGAAATGGCAAACCGCAATGACATTTGATGATAGGGAAGCTGTGTTTCCATAAAAATTTTAAACAAATACTAGAAATGACAAAAATAAACAGTTTATTTATTTTAATTCTAAAATAGATAATTGACATGAAACAAAGATATAAGAACCTGTTTTTATTATTTTTTATAAACTAACTCTATTTGGCAATTTTTTCGCAAAGTTGTTAATTACCATAAAAATTGCTCATTGTTGGTTCCATCAAAATATTTAAAAGCTGTTTTTCTGTCTAAAGCAATGCTAGTAATGATAATCTTTCCTCTGACTGAGTGTTCTTTGTCAACGTATCAATTTGCTTCATGGTTGAAAAACTGTGCTCAACAGATGCACTGGTAGATGGTACCGTAAAAAGTAATGATATTAAATCATATAATTCTTTTAGCACATCTCTGTTCAGATCATTATTAATTATAATATTTTTTATATCTAAAAGCAACTTGCCAATTTAGTCTGGACATGAATATAAATATTGCAATTCACTATGTAATTTAGATAAATCAAAAAATTCTCCATAAAATTTATTTAATAAATTAAAAATTATCACTTTTAGATGTTAATAATATTTAAAATTATTAACATCTAAAAGTGATGAAAATTCTAAAGATTTTACATCTAAAAATCTATCAATATAATTATAATTAAATATAGCTTTGTAGAGAAACGTACATAAAAATAACATTTAATATTCTTTACTTTATCCATCTTAAAACAATCCACTTAATCAAATAGCTCACTATGAGTAGCTAATAAATGGAATCATTGAAAGCATTTTATCATATTTTGGTGTGTAGCATCCACCAGCTAAACCACCAGAGGTTGGTGCTATGTACAACAAATCCACGAACGCCTGTAATCTAGCTGCTTTACACCATTCAGATATTTTCGTTGTGGAAGCTATCCCATATTCAACAATACAGCACTTCCATTGGGAATATGCATATACAAATTTATATTCGACTATACAATAGCAATCTTATCATTGTTTTTCACATGTATAGAAATTTGTAATAAAATACATAACATTATATTGGGTTGTTCAGAAAGTAAGTTTNTCTTCAATTGTATGAATATACTTTTAAAGAAAATTATAATTAAATATAGCTTTGTAGAGAAACGTACATAAAAATAACATAAAATATTCTTTACTTTATCCATCTTAAAACAATCCACTTAATCAAATAGCTCACTATGAGTAGCTAATAAATGGAAATTCTAAAGATTTTACATCTAAAAATCTATCAATATAATTATAATTAAATATAGCTTTGTAGAGAAACGTACATAAAAATAACATTTAATATTCTTTACTTTATCCATCTTAAAACAATCCACTTAATCAAATAGCTCACTATGAGTAGCTAATAAATGGAATCATTGAAAGCATTTTATCATATTTTGGTGTGTAGCATCCACCAGCTAAACCACCAGAGGTTGGTGCTATGTACAACAAATCCACGAACGCCTGTAATCTAGCTGCTTTACACCATTCAGATATTTTCGTTGTGGAAGCTATCCCATATTCAACAATACAGCACTTCCATTGGGAATATGCATATACAAATTTATATTCGACTATACAATAGCAATCTTATCATTGTTTTTCACATGTATAGAAATTTGTAATAAAATACATAACATTATATTGGGTTGTTCAGAAAGTAAGTTAATTTTTTTTCTGTGGAAAAAACACAATATTTTTATAATAAATATATATTTTATTGAATTATATATCAACCATTTTGGTCAAATACCTGTTGTCATCGTTTCTGGTAGTAGCACAATTTCACATTCATAAAAGTTTTGATCAGTTGCTTACAAAAAACTGATCCAAGTGATTTTGGACATTGTCATTTCAAGTAAATGTCTTACAGTTAAAAAAAATGTATACAGACTGGAACAAGTAATAATCTGAGTGTGCTCGATCTGGCAAATATGGTTGGTGTGATAGCACGTCCCATCTAAGTTATAACAGTTTCTGACGAGTTACCAAACTTGTGTGAAATTTGACATTATCGTGGTAAAACACTAAACCTGTTTTGTTGATCAATTCTGGTCATCTCTTCTGTTTGATGATATTACTCAATTTGTTTACTCAATGGCAGTACACTTTCGAATTAATTGTTAAATTGTCTGGTAAAAGCTCCAAAAAAAATTTCCTTAAAATCCCACCAAAGAGAGCATCTCTCTTTAAGAACATGTGGAACCAATATATCAAGCTTTTGATATATTACTTGAAACAAAACCAATTTGTTTCAAGTAATCATAAACAGTTCAATTTGACAAATTTCATCTCAGTGATTTCAGATGTTGTTATTTGGCAGTTTGTTTCAATCAGTACCTTTATTTTGTTTTCATTGGCTTCAATTGGCCATCCAGAACGTGGTGTATCTTCAATATTGAAATTGCCAGAACAAAATTTTGTAAACCAGTTTTGGCACTGTTGTTCTGTCAATACATCTTCTCAGTACATGTCACACAGTTTTTTCTTGCTTGAACAGCATTACCTTTTTGATAATAAAAGAGCAAAATATACCAAAAATGCTGCTTCCGATCTTCCGTATTTGATGGAACACAAAAAATAAACAATTGCACAAAATCAAACAAAATTTTTTACAAATAAGCCTTAAAATGCTAGCTGTCAAAATATATAATGATAATACGGTTTAGAATAAAAATGGTGGGAAAAATACGACTAATCTGTCTAGTAATAAAAAAATGAACTTACTTTCTGAACAACCCAATAATAAAATATTAATTTTAATTAATTCAAAGTACATTAAAATATGAAAATAATCGCACAATATGTATTTATATTTTAGAAAATACAAGGGAAGTGGCTCTTCCACTGCTTCTATGACAGCATACCACTGGCACACAATATATGTTATCATGAGAGACTGATACTTCATATTCTATCTTTGCAATTTTTTCTTTAGATGCTTCTGAAATACAGTCTTTAGAAGATATTCGTTTTCTATCTGATCGTTTTATTGCAAGGATTTTTTAAAGATGTGAAGGGAGTGTTCATTTCCTCCACATCTTAAAACAATGAAGTGAGCTACTCAAAGCAGACACAATCACATGGGCTAAATGATTAAATGTGACAGTTTTAAAGGAGTGACGCAGACGACAGTATTGAGGATTAAGTTATAACTGACATCCCATTAACAGAAAAGAACCGAAATAATTTTTATAGTTTAGATTAGATCTTCTAGTTATAGTTGGACAATATAATAAATTTATAACCTATTAATTTGTTTATATCAAGTTTAAATATAGTAAAATACAGTTTAAATTTAATTTAACTAATCAAAAGTTCATTTTAAAGTAAACTTTTTTGGATCAAAGTCTACCTAGGTAGACCCAATGGCTGCGCTTCCAATGGACTCCTCCCGGAGGGGAGCTGCCGGCAGGCCGCCGAGTGTTTAACATCATTAGTTATTGATCCACGTAGTTCTTGAACAAAAGAAAAAAAGGAAACGTTTACTAAAAATATAGTTAATCTAACCTAACCGAAGTGCAGCCATTGGGACTACCTAGGTAGAATTTAACCCTTTTTTCAATTTCACAATACTTACAATGTTTTAGCACAGTAAATATATCGAGGATATCGATGAATGAGTAAAATATTCTCTAACTTTACAGTATATTCAACAAATCCTTTTTTATTAAGTTCAAACTCTGCCATATCATGTTGGATTAAGACTCGTAGTGACTGTTTTACCTGACATAAGTAGATAAATTTCATTTCATAATTCGGTATACCCATAATCTTATTATAGTAATTTTAATTAGTTATTTAACTCGTTATTTACCTTTCTTAAGGGCAACATAGTTTCCTGTGCAATGATTCTTAATGGTCGAGAGCCATATTTTTTAAGCATAATAGCAACTTTCTGAACTATTTCTCCAAAATGTTCTTTCAGTAAAGAAGAACACAGCATTATTTGATTCTTTGACATTTTTTTCAAAAATTGCAGTTAACTTCAAAACATAAAAATTAATAATAGCACACGTGATCTACGGGCGCCGCCATATTGGTTTCGAAACGTCATTCAATTTTGTAGCCTAAATATCCTTAAAATACGCTTTATTTTATCGAAATTAATTTTTACATATTAATATTTTTTATGTTAAAATGTGTTTAATAATTGCTATATCCTTATAATATAAAGTTAATAATTTAAAAATATGTAGGAACGTAAGTTAGCACCTTGAGCACCACGTGTTACGAATATCTCGATAAGGTCGAGAAGTAAACAAAGTTGATTGATTATATTTTGTTAATTAATTTATATTAAATGTGGAAACAATATACTTTTACTGATGAAAATATCAGCAAAATTCGAGAAAGATATGCAACAAATAGTTCGGATGATAATTTTTTATATAAATTATTTGTGAAACACAACAGTACGAGGGAGAATGACATTCAAAGCGAAAATAAAGTTGTTGAAGAAGATATTAAATCATTTATTAAATTTCATCGTGTAAACATTGAAAATCCTGATAAAGATACAAAACAATCGCAAATTAAAACATTACAAGAAGAAAATTCAAATTACCAGTCTGATCAATCATTTGATAAGGTTCAGACAGTTAATTTTAAATACGTAAATTTTGTTTTTTCTGTGAATAATTTAATTAATCCAATTTTAATTCCATTACAGATTAAATTATATGAACTGAAAGAGCAGCTTTCATTACAGAATGATAATGTCCAAAATGATACAAACTTAAGACTTCTTGGAGAAGTTTTTAGTAATATTAATCCAAAGCATGTAAGTATTTTTTATTATAGAGCTCTCAACCGTCCATGTTTTGCATGGACAATCCATGCATCCACTGTGTTTGGCATTTGTCCACTTTTTTTGCCGATGATTCCAGTTTCCATTTTCTTACAATTACTGTATTTATTCTCCTTCTGCTATTGTTGTCTAGATTTGAAACTGATCAATCAAGCAATCAATTTCCCACATAAGTAAACTGAAGTCTTTGTTAATAGCTGAAAAATAGATTTTCTTAAGAAGTCAACTGCATCCTATCAAATAAGTTATTTTATACATTTAATTGCCTGTGAAAAAAAGAATGTACAATATCTCATGTGTCACATGCATGCAACTTTGGGATACTTTGAATATGTCTTTCACAATATGGACATTATTACTAATCCTCAAATAATATGTATTATTATAATCATCAAAAGGTGGACTATCAAAAACTTAGAAAATTTTAGTATTTTTGAGCTATACATCTGTCATCAGGAGTCAACAACAGTATTATCTATTGTTTGTTTATTCTGATGATAGGCATATAGTCAAAATGTAACTAATTTTTTAAAAATGTTTTTGGCTACAAGAAGATTAGTTTGAGTTGGATCTAAATTTGCAGAACTTCTTAACAAACATGTTAAACAAAAACAACATAAATAAAACATTCAATAAAAGCTGGAAAAATTTATTGGCATTTTTGAGACTTCTTTGTTAAGAGAATTACTTTTATTGTTTTTCCGCTGAACTAACAAAGAGAAAACGGTGATTTGGATCCTTGATGTAGTTGCTTTTGTCTCCTTGATCCTGGTCACACTATTGACTAATTCTCCTTTATGGTGGTTTGCTTATTACCTAATACCTGTGAGATGTTTAATTGTATCTACTCTCCTTTTTAGATGTTTAATTGGATCTAACCTTAATGATTGTATGTGCATAATTATGTACATTCTTCTTGTTATTTTTATTATCCCTTATTTATTTCCTTCTTTATGTAAACATGTTTTCCTGTATATATTTTAAAATAATATTTTTATTCTTACATATTATTGAACCAAATGGATAATTTCTTGTTTTTTAGAACTGTCCTTATGTTTGAATTTCCTCTCAATCAAAGGAACTCAAGGCATTCTTGTTCAAATTTTCCAATTTGAATATCCTAGAGATCTGATGATGGGATAGTAAGTCCCAAAAAACGTTTAATCTAATAAAACTTTTGACTCCTTCACTTAATTTAGCATTGGTTTACTTATTGTTTTCATGGAGGCATCTTACTTAGAAACTATTTTTTTATTGTATAATTTTGTTTAATTTACAAAGGAATTGTGTTTATTTTCACAGTTTCACGTATTGAAAAATATTAATAAATGTTATTTCCATACACTGATATTTTTAAACATTTCTGACATAAATATAAATCTTTTAAATTTCAGATACCAGATGTCTGTGAATACTTAGAATTAGACAAATTAAAGGAAACAAATTTTCATTCCTGTTTTTGCAAGTTAATTTTACAATTGACACCGCAAATCAGTTTCTTCACAGAAGTTGCTTTGATCAAACATCTTTTATATTCAAAAGTGAGTTTTATAATTCTGTTATTTATTACAGGTATATCTCGACTTACGTCGTTTCGGGTTATACGTCGTTTGTCAAAAAAGTATATGGAGAAATAAAAATCAAGTTTAAGTCATTTTATTCAACTTTACATCTGTCCGCCACAAATATTGAAGTCGTAATATCACTAGAAAAGCGTTTAAAGCACATAAAATCATATTAAAATATATACATTTACAAGTATGTACTGTATATGCATTCGTAAATTTAGATTATTTTTTTCTGTACTATATTAAAAACTAAAATTTATTTGTTTGTAAGCTTAAAATAGATCATTATTAACCATATATTATTAAAAATGCATTAATAAATAAAATACAGAACCAGAAATGGTAATTTATGGTTTAGCCTAGTGACAAGTAAATTCGACTTACGTTGTCTCTCCTGGAACTAATTACTGACATAAGGCGAGGTATACCTGTATTCTTATTAAAATGAAAAATAAATATTAAAAAATTTGATTTGAAAATTGATTTACATGCTCAACATCAATCTGTTTTATGTAATTTTTTTTAATCTTTAGATTTCAAATAGATTCTTCTCTTCTTAAGAAATTAAAATAATTTAGATACTCCTCAGTTAATGGGACGCCAGTCAATCAATGAAATCCGATTTGTGTTTACATCTTAATATTTTATTTATTTTAGTTCAAATAGTATGTATAGTTTATTAGAATTCAAACCTATCCTTTTCTTTAAGCTTGTATAAAAGTTATAAAAGTTGATTAGGAAATTAAACAATGATTGTTGATGCATTTTTGATATTGTAAATGATTAGCATATTTGTGCGTTGGTATACTCGCAAAAGTTAAATTTCAACTTTTACTTGTAATTTGTACATATAACTTGTTATTTTATGTTATTTGGTTGTAAATTATAATTGAGAATAATAATAAAAGTTAAAAATAATTTTTTATTTTATTTTCAATGTACTTTGCATAGTACCACATCTCATAGTTGCATCATTCAACTCATGGTTATGTAAATTATATTTCTTGGTAGGAGTGATGTACCTCAAAGTTAAATACTGTAATGTTTTTTTCAAAGTTTGCCATAATGGTTCCTTTTCATTCATTTCTAACTCTTCAATTTAAAATGGATTTTAGAATATGGAAATTGTCAAATGACAAAGAAATTGCAATTAGTTTTTTTCCTAGAAATTAAAATCTTAAATGGTAAGTTAGGAAATAATCACAGTATGATTGTTGATCAGAATGATTATATGCATTATGTTTGTACCAATTTTTTTATTATTTCAAATCATTGTATAATTAGGTGGTACAAACAGAGTCCTTGAGGTGGAAGAAAGTCAATATACACACAGACAAAAAATGTCGGATGTGTTCTTCCACTGCAGTGGGTATTCTGTGGAGTTTGCTGTGAGTCGAAAAAGTGTTTTTTAGTTACTGTGTGACACTGTTCAGCTAAAACATTGATTAATGCAATACAAAATAACGTGAAAAAAGGAAGTACAGTTGTCCCTTGATAATCCGACAGGTATGGGACCAAAGGTGTGTCAGATTACCAAAAGTGTCCGGATTACCGAAAATAATTACATATTTCACATTGTTTTGCTAGCAGTAACTTACAATATTCTCTACTCCAACTGTTCGAACAGAACTGCTCACATAAAACACACGAAATGTGTGTCATCGTGTAAAAATTGGATGGGGAGATTCACATCGCAACATGCTTCTGTGCAAGCAGACACGTAACGGGGACGGGTACCTTGACGGGAGGTGCGTCGGACTACTGAGCATGTCGGATTAAAAAACGTCGGACTATAGAGGGACAACTGTATAATTATATCTGACTGTTGGAAAGTGTACAAAAATGATGAGTTAGAAGAAGCCAGATATGAACATTTGTGAATAAACCACAAATATAAACTTTGTAGACCCTGAGACTGGATGTCATGCACAAAACATAAAAATAATTGTAGTAAGTTTATTCTTTTGTAAATGTTTCATTATTTCCTTATAATTTTAAATATTTATGAATCACAAAATAAAATAACAATTTTGCTAAAAATAGTAGTAAAAATGACTGGTGTCCTGTTAACTGAAGAGTATCATAATTTAATAATTTCTGTTTAGAACTATTCATAAATTTTATTTAGTTCTGAATTTAATTTATACTCATTTTTGCATTTTAAGGTAATTTGTTTGGATAATCAACCATCAAGATTATTAATTTCGAATGTTCTAGAATGGGCAAAAATCTCTCCTAAAGCTGTGCTGGAAGGTCTTTTTATACCATGTATACAAAATAATTATTTAGGTAAAAAAATTTTTTTAGTATAATCATGTTGAATGAATGTTAATAGAATTTGGTTAGAATCGTTAACCATCTCATAGTTTTAGCACCAACACTTCTAATACTATAAATAAAATTCCAGTAAAAAACTCTCATCACTGTTTGATAGATATGTTTATAAAACAGTTATGTTATATGATTAGTTCATGACTAAACCTACATGAATGATACTGATGATATAAGATGAATAAAGACTTAATGAAGACATGACTGAATATTTATTACTATAGGACAAATTCTGTCAATATACAAATAAATATAAAACAGCCACTTGAACCCTTTAACTTCAATTTTTAAATATCTTATATTTAAAAATTTTGTACATTATTAAAATACTTTCCTTATCAGATTGGTTGGAGTTACATATAAAGAAAGGGAACTCATAAAGGAGTACAAACAAATGCATGTATAAAAAAAAATAATGTATTTGGTACATGTATTTATTTAAGAATTACTTGTAAAATACAACACTGTCTGCAATTTAATATTTTAAATATAAAAATTGAATGTTTTTTAAAAGTTCGAACTGATTAAGTGATTCGGATACGTTACATTAATTCTATTACTAGATTCCACCAACATAAACTCATATTAACGAAAATTTAAACTACAAATGATATTTAGATGATAGTAATTAATGTGAAATTAATTGATTATTTATCCATTTATTGTTTAAATAATATACGTATTTTGAAATTTTATCCTGAACATATAAATTTTAAGTATATTTGATTATGTATAAAACCAGACATGTATGCATTTTATAAGCTCCAATGCCTGGTATCTGTTTTATACATGAACAAGTATATTTAAAACATATATTTATATTAATTTATAAATTTGTAAAATTAATATAAATTAACATATTTATAATAAACGTATTTAATCTAAAAATGGAACTGGTGAAAATTTACAAATGAAAGTTTTACAATGTATCGTCACCAGGGGGCAGCTTTTTAAATCTACATTTTCCAGTGCTCATTTCCAGTGGATAAAAGCTGTAACACCCCAAGAATGTATGGATGGAAGCAAGAAAGAAGTCTGTGTCACCAGTTCCATTTTTAGAAATTCTTGTAATTTTAATTGGATATATTTTTTATTTTTAAAAAGATTTTTTTAACTTCTGGCGACCAGTAGCCTAAAAAGAAAGGTCAGTTGCCAAGAAAGTGTAGTCTGGAACACGAGATAAATAAATGGTGGTTCCTTTTTGGATAGACTTTGTCTTCAGAAAAATACATATATTAATGTAAACTCAGCCAATATTATTATTACTATTTCAGTCATATCTACATAGAGCCATTTTTCCCTTATGCATGAATTCATTAATATGAATTACTTCATGTATCTCTAGTACCATATTATTATCAATACTAAAATGCTTACTTCAGGAAGCCAGATTTCAACTGAATAATAATAAACATTTTTGTCCTGATCCAGGACAACTTCAGCTTACAATTCATATAAAACAAATATAAGTATTATTGTTCTTTAAAATTAACCGAAGTTTGAATTGTTTGATTTTTTAACAAATTAAACATCTGAAAACAATCAATCTGCATTCACAGTACCAACATATTGTTTCCACTTAAAAACAGAACACAATAATTCACTTTTAAATGCAGAACACTTTCCTTATCCCAAGCTACTCCTTTATTTTATCAATCCAGTGCTTAATCATATCACACCAATTTCTTGAATGTGCATTCCAGTCCAACTATTGTCTAGGTTTATGGAGTCCTGTGCATTGATGATGATCAGATATTTTCCTAATAAACTCATGATGAAACAGTATTTATCTATTCTGATAGTATTTATGTTGTATTGGCTTTTGAGTACTATCAGCTTTTCAACATTCTTTTTCTAGCACCCATTATGTTAATACCATGCTATTACTGGGAAATTAATTGAATCAAAAAGTTCCTTGAGTTGGAGATTCACAGATCTGTTTGTGGATCCCATGTAGAAAAATTCATCATTTGCTTTGTTTAATTTGATTGTATAAATCAAAATAATCATGAAAACTTCTGAGAATCCAACCTGTGTCTGTAAGAGTGGCTAGTTGGCTGAACTTTGATCATCTAATTATCACTTATGAATATGAAAAACTCATTGATTGTAGACAGGATCATGAGAGATTGTATAATAATATACAATTCAAAATATCAGTAATTTGTATATATACTGTATAAAATTAAGTAATTTTTATTTTTTTCTAATTAACTAAACCATTATTCTAAATTACAATTCTAAACAGACGATGAAAAGTTTATATGTAATAACAGATGATAATGTTTATATATATAAGTAAATAAACATCATAATTTCTTGATTTTAATAAAAAATCAATAGTTATCTCTAAATTTGAATTATATTAAATACTACTTACACTAATTTTTATGTATCTAATTAAAAATTTGTTGTTTACAAATATTGTATACTAGCAGATGAGCCTGGCATTGCCTGGGCAAAAAATAACAACTACAAAGATTAAGATTATTAGATTATTTTGAACTTCTAAACCTTCTATTATATTATATTATAGTATTTGATTTATATAACAACAAATGTTATCTTACATAAGGGTTTATCACACCTAGTGACCAATCCAACACATTTTTAAAATTCTTTATTCCTTGACTGTACACAATTTAAAGAATTTTTAGAATGTGTTAGATTGGTCACATTGGTCACTTGACCCTTATGTAAGATGACCTTTGTAGTTATATATAAATCAAATACTATAATATAACAGACATTCAAATGAAAACCATATAAAGAGTTTGGTTATTTTAGCCTACCATTGTCACAATTATTGCAATACTCAGATGGTAGGAAATGGCACAATTTCGTTGATCAAGTAGACACCAATTAAAAATATGATGTTAAAAAATTTAAGATATGTGAGGTTGCCAATCTGCACATAATAATAGGATATCTGAGCAGTTCTGAATTGTGTGTGGGAGTGCTAGGCACAGAGACAACTCTCCAGTTTCATAAATTTCATCTCAATTTATTGTAACTTAAAAATATATCTTACAACAACAATATTCTTTGATTGTTGGTGGAGACTAAATTTTCAGATTCCCTTTTCTTACTGATAAAGTTCTAAAAGAAAGGTTTCTTGATGTTCCTTTGTGAGTCAATGGCCCCAGGTTGTTGTAAGGAAGTCCATAGAGATGTTTAGTCCTGTTTTGAGTTGGGGGTGAAGATAATTCTTCCAAGGAAACAATAGAGAGAAGCTCTCTGTGTTCTTGAAATTCTGATTTGTATAACTTTCAGGTCCCAGATTGACCATTCTGGTTTGTTCTTTCTCATCTCCAATTTCTAATTGGTCATCACTAATTACTAAGTGTAATGAGATCAGAACCTAGATCACAGGATGAATCAAAATTGTCTGTCAATTTCATCCCAATCAAAGATGTTTGATCTTAGTACTTACGTTATTCTTTTGATAAAATTTGAGAAGTACTCTCTCTCTTTTTTTTTTTTTTGTTAGATCAAACATTTCCTTATATGGTCAGGATATTTCTATGTCTTTTTATCACTGTCTTACATAATTAAAATATAAAATTCCTTTATAATTTTGCATAGTTCTGGTATGTTTTCTGGTCCTCTCAGATATGTTTTTCTTAACATTAACTTACTATAACTGCTGAGTTTTGTAAAAATTGGTCAAACAGCTTCAGAGTATATAGCAAACAAACAAACATCCTCATTTATATATAGATTTAAGGAACAAATTTGAAATTAACTGAGACTTTTAGCATACAAAAAAGCAAAACATAAAAATATAGTAAATGTCTTAAAGTATAATTGATCTTATTATTGATTATTATACAAAGTTTAAAAATAATAATAATAATAAGTTTAAGAATATAAATCATAATTTCAGGTAAAGTACAAGTGGATTTAGTGGTCAGAATTATAAAAGAAAGTTTGCCTTTGGATCAAGCTGACATTTATTTGAGGTAAATTATAAGAAAAATTACCTTTTTATAAAACAGATATCAATTTTTAAATAATAAAAACAATTTTATTAATTATATAGAAAAGAAATCAAATGTAATCATCAAAAATTGGATTATTTAAATTCAAATAAATGTAAATAAAAATAAATTAAATACAGAATTATAATGAGAGTACAGCTGTTCCTTGATAGTCCGACGTTTTGTAATCCGACATGCTCAGTAGTCCAATGCACATCCCATCAAGATACCCGTCCCCGTTAAATGTCTGCTTGCACAGAAGCATGTCACAACATGAATCTCCCCACCCAATTCTTACAAGATGACACACATTTCATGTGTTTTCCATGAGCAGTTCTGTTCGAACAGTTGGAGTAGGGAATATTGTGGGCTACTGCTAGCAAAACAATGTCAAATATGTAATCACTTTCACTAATCCAGGCACTTTTGGTAATCCGACACACCTTTGGTCCCATACCTGTCGGATTATCAAGAGACAGCTGTATTAAATGCTGGTGAAGAATATTCAAAATATTTTTTAATAAAATAAACATACATGTATATATATAGTCAAGTCTCCAATAAATCTACTTTTTTAGAAACTTTGAACAAAAATACTTACAAAGTAACTTCCAATCAATGGCCAATTATTGTTTCTGTCAGTGGTCATTGTTGAGATGTTCGACTGTGTATATATAGTACAGGCATACAGATACATAGCCAAACAATCGCCTTAAATACTTGAGCTATAAATCCACTATTTTTAATAATTAATACTAAGTAATTTGCTATTAGAGGTAAATTAATCTCTTATCTAAGTTAAATCCATATAATTTGTATCAACTGGATGGATATATTACAAAATATCACACCTTTTAAAAATTCAGTGTGATTTTTTTGTTATCTAGTTGAGATTAGTCTATCTCTAGTAGCAAATTACTTAGTATTAATTATTAAAAATAGCAGATGTATAGCCCAAGTATTTAATGTGGCTATGTATGTATACTATTGTGAGGTCAGCCGATTAGGGTGAGGGTTTTTCGACAGCCGAGCGGTTCATTCTGTCATGTGGGCGCAGAATGACTTTCTGAGACAGGTTTACCATTTTTAACCCGTTTATTAAACATAGAAATTCTCCTTACAAATTACTTGTTAGACGAGGTAGCACCCCAAAGCGCACGGATAAAGTTCGTAAAAGTTGGTTTTCGTCACTAGTGGATGGACGCTGCTGGTGAAACACTCAGTGAGCCCCGGGGCGTTGATTACGGCTTTCGGCAGCTTCTCGCGGACGAACCGACGAATCTGTCGATTGCTAGGAGCACCCAGAGAACGATGCTTCCACGATGTTCCAAAATGTCCTTTTTTTTCTAAGATCTGGAACACGCCCGTCCAGGAGATGACACACTACGTATCCAAACACCAAGAACCAAGAACCTTCGTCTCTTGAGTCGCACAAATTTATAGATTTTTTTACAGCAGTCGCCTCTCCATTGGTCTCTCATTGTCACCTGGTGACAATTCGAAACCTAATGGAGGGCGCGGGAGAGGTTAACATAGCGACTGAATATGATCCTCTCTCTCGTCGTGTTTTCCTCGAATTTCTCCGTTTCCATTGTTTAACTAATTTTCCGAAAAATCCAATTGCATTGTTCAATCGAGACACCTAATCCGTTTCCTTATCGTCTGAAAAGGAGCTCTTTATTTTCGATCGAACCCATAATTCGGACCTCTCAGTCGACCCCTGTTCGGGTCCTCACACTATGTTTACTTTGGACATGTGATGCGTAAAGAAATTTCCCTAGAGAAGACTATTATGCTGGGAAAAGTGGAAGGTAGAAGGAAGAGGGGAAGGCAACGGATAAGATGGATAGAAGAAATCGAAAAAGTCACAGAAATGAAGCTGGAGGAGCTATGAGAGACAACAAGGGAAAGATCAAGATGGAGAAGACTTGTCCATGAAGTCACCAGGAGTCGACGACGACTCGATGGAACTTAACAACAACAAAATGTATATATATATTGGGCTTTAGGTTGTATAATATACTTATGTACATGCATATCTCAATTAAAAAGATGCATTCCATGAAATTACTTTGCTAAGTGAAACTTCGTTCTCAGAGATCAAAATACTATGGCTGTAATAGGGATATTTTTATGTAAAGAAAATGAGACTTTTTTTTTTTTTTTTTGAAAAAGAAAAGCTTTATTAAATAAAAAGTCAGTATCATATTCCAAAAAAGTATAAAATTAGACATTTTAAAATAGGAATCTAAAATTGATTGTTTATGTTTATTTTTCTCCTTCATTTAATTAACAATTACCAGTACAGATTTGTTGCAGTTAACACTGATCACTTAACAATAACACATCTTAAATCATGATCATTTTTAATGTTATTCAAAAATCTTTTAAGCCTAAATGTTTGGTTGCTAACACTTTTTCATTATGAACTTCTTTAATTTTATCTTCATTTTTGTGTTTTTCATTGTTAACAAGTTTTTCTAAATCTTTTAAATCCACTGATAAACTAGTATCTTTTGCATTTAATAAATTTCATACATCCTCTTTGTCCATATTTTTGAAGCTGATTGATTGGGCCAACTTCATTTCTAATCTATTGAACATTATTTTCTTCTAGTACAATTTATTCTTTTCTTCATACCTCATTTATTGCAGTACACCACACTTAAAACACACCTTATGAAGTGTAAGTAACTAAATTACTCTATGATATAAAAAATGTTAAAACAGACACACCTATAATGGAATAAGTGATGCATTGCCATCATTTGCAATATGATGACTTCTGTCTGGACATTTATCTTGAAATTTTAATATTTTTACATTAAATTGGGCTGGAAATTACGGACTTTGTTATATTTAGGCTTTGTTACCAGAGGTAACATTAACTGAGGTATGTCTGTACTTTTACTTTTCTGGTTCTGTTATATATAATAGGGAGTGTTGGGAATTAGTCAAAAAATAACCCCCTAAGATTTGTACATCATTGTGTTCAGGGGACTTTAAAATGTCTAGAAATGCAAAAAAATTTGGGGGTTTTATATGTATGGATGTTTGTGTATATGTGGAGGAGGCAAATTTTGTTTACCCTCTTTGAAGCTTAAAAATTTCTGTGATTTTTAATTAAAAAAAATTCTGAAATTTTGCAGGGAAGTTTGTGTATTAGGAGGATTGATGCTATTAAATTTCGGTGATTAAATGTCGACAGCATGGAGAGATAAAGGGGACTCTTGCATCATATCTTGAGTAGGGTCAGACTTAATGATGAGTTTACTTGTTATTAGCATTTATAACTTTTTATAAAACCCATCCCTACCCTCAAAATAAAGCTTTTTGTCATCTTATAATAATTTAAAATATAACAAGCAATTATTTATTGTGATATTGTCACAATGGCAGGCTGAAATTTTTAATTTGTTTAATTTAAAATATATGCTCTCCACTTCAAATTATTACTGTAGTGTCTTGCTCCTGTACATCATACTTTTACTGTTAACTTAGAGTCAAGCCAGTCATCTGTCTAACTCCTTTCAGAAGAAAATTTTCAAATTGAAATAACATGACTTCTGATACAAACCAGAAGTTTTTATACAGTTAATAGAGGCCTCCTGTTCTTAAGCTTTCCAAATCTGGCCTCAACTTTCGTTTTTCTAATTCTGTTCTCAAAATTAAGGAAGGACAGACAGACAGATGATAGTGGAAATTTATAGGTCTACAATTTTTTCAAATTGTAGCCCAATTAAAATATTTTATTTCTTAACAAATTTACTTAATTTTTTATTTTAAATACTGATTAACAATTCTTATTCCATAATTAAAAATTACTCATAGTTCAGATAAATTTAAATTTTTAAAAATTTAAAAGATTGTTTAAATTGTTTTTGTAATAAGTGATTTTAAAAAAATCTTTACAGATTATATCAGCAAAGTCAGATAAAATATAAAAAGAGATATTAAATGTGGATAAATTAATGACAGTATTTTCTGTTGGTGTAAAGAAATTTGCCTTAAAAACATTTTATTAAATTCAATATCATTCTAGATAAAAATTTTTTAAATAAAGCATATTTTTACATGGAAAATATGAAGCAAGCAGCTAAGCAAACAAGTCAATGACAATTCATTTCATATGAAATGGATTGTCATTGACTTGTTTGCTTAGCTGCTTGCCATCTGGATGTGCCCATGATTATAAATGAATCATAATACAAATAATCATTTCAACACGGTAGATTTTTACATTTACACATCTATGAGCCAAACCAATTTCCAATTAATCTTAATCTAAAGATAAGTTGTCATCTTGTCTTAAGTTCCATAATTAGCCTAATTCTAGCTTGAAAACAATTTCACATGTAGGTCATACATACACAGTCATTAAAATTCAGGTTATGGTTTATTGTATTTTTATATTAACTATGATTTTATTTATTTTTTTAAACATTGTGTATGTAACTTATATATAATGTGTATATTTTTTTGAATAGGGAATTTCTACAAACAACTAGTAAAATAGAAGAATCTCATATAATTATCATTCAAGCTTTAACTGAAAAGAAGGTAGTAACAACTTAATTAAATTAATTAGATGAGATAAAAATAACAGTATGTATTTACTTAAGTTAGATACAAACATTTTTATAAAAGTAAAATCTATAATTGTTATAAAATTATATTTATTTTTTGTTAAAGTTATTCATGTATTTAGAAAAATGCATTTCTATTATAATTCCTGACAAACATCTTTAAGAACAATTTCAGGAGTATTATGAACTGACATTATTATGTTTAATTCTGATGCATACAAAATTAATTTATAAATATTAAACTATTTAGGATAGTTGGAAAAAATATAACAGACTGTTTATTAAATCCTAATCTAATTGTTAGTGTAGAAATTTTTAAATATTTCTGATAAGATCTGCTTAGCAAATTATATTGTTATCCTAAATTTTATTGATTTATTTATATAGTTGTATATACAAGGGTTGATCAAAAACTAAGGTTACAAGGCCAATATTCCTGGAGTTTTGTTTGTTATAAAGAAATGAGAAGTGTGTGGTAATTCCAATACATGCGGTTGGCAACAGTGTAGAGTTTCAGTCACCTGTCACCTACAGAACTAATTGTAGGTAAACACAAATGGCAACTCATTTGGAAAACTGGTCTTATGAAGAAATCTGATCAGTTATTTGATTTCTGTGGGCGAAACATGTAACTGTGGCTGAAATTCACCAGCAGCTGGTAGAGGTTTGTGGAGAGACATGTCTCATCAGCATGTCGCAGAATGGTGTCGGAAGTTTGCCATGGAAGACCACCACGCTGTTGAAGCAGTTTCACTGGGACATCATCAACCACCCTCCCTACAGCCCGGACCTTGCTCCAAGCAACTTTCACCTGTTTCCTCACTTGAAGGAGCACCTAACAGGATGACAATTCGTTTTCAGACGAGGAAGTGAAACACTTCACAACAACTTGGCTGAACATGCAAGGACAGGATTTTTACCAGGAAAGAATTTTCAAACTCATCACATGAAGTGATAAGTGCCTAAACCAATATGGAGACTATCAGTTGGCTGTATTGGTTGTATGAAATAAAATGTACACTTTTCACTGCAGGCTTTGTGATCAGTTTTTGATCATTCCTTGTATTACCAGGTTATCATAATTAAAGTAGCTATTCAGTGCTGTTCAGAGATATTTACCAGTCCAAGTGCAACTAAATCTGGTTTAGTGACATTTCAAGACATGCAAAAGATATTTCCTTTAAAAAATTAGTGCCAAAACTTAAATATTTTTGATACTGCAAGCAACAAAAAAACAAAACACTTCTTTGCATTAGTACACATGTTGTAGCTACATTCTGGTTATAAAAGTGGCCACAACTATTAATTGTCATTCTTATCAGCTATGATGTCCATCACCTGATTGCAGCTTGCATTTCTTGGGAAGTTGTTTTATGAAAATAACAATGCTTGTTAGAATTTTGTTGCTGTAAGAATTTACACCAAGGATCATCAGTTCCATATGCTATTAGAAGAATGATTGCTTGGTTTGAGAAAACTGAATATCTGAAAGTTCAATCTGGTTGAGGATGCAAATAAATTTGTATCCTCAACCAGATTGTTGAACAGTCTATAAATATTGCAGGCTCCAGTATTATATGTGTTGGGTGTATTTAGGCTTAGGCTCAGTGTCAATGACACTGTGAAAGTTGGTGCTTTCTTATTCACATAAGATCAGTTACAAGCAGCAATTGCCAACAGGGAACTCTTTGCCAGAATGAAAGCAAATATGTCATGACCATGGAAGATCCTATACATGTCAAGATACATTTTTACCTTGGTGGAAGAGTGAACACCCATAACTGTCAGATTTGGGCCACAGAAAACCCTAATTTTTTCAGCAGTTTTAACACTGCACTTGCTAAAATTACAGTCTAGTGTGGATTCACACCGCATTTATCCGTGAACCATTCTTTTTCAAAGAAGCTAGTCCCAATAGGACTGTGACAAACTCTGAAATGGCCAGATACAAAGACGCACTCAGCACTATCATACTCCAACAGTGTTGTAAGGAACCAAGTCCGAACGTTATTTTTATTTACTTTTATTTTGCTTATTATTCTATTTTTGTTTGGGGCTTATGTTTTGTTAGGACGAAGTTTCCTCACCATTCACCTTAGTAACTTAAAAATAGAAGAAAAACCAACTCACCAACGAAAGAAAAGCGCCGTAGAAAACTCGCGCACACTTGCGCTTCCCAAGCGGAAAAAAGTAAGTCCGCACCGAGAAAAAGGGGGGGAAGACCCCACAACCCAGTTAGGAATCGCTAAACCTTAAAAGAATAAAGCATCCCGATAATTGTTAAAAAGAATAATGTAAAAGGTTAGCGAAGTATTGTCGGAAAATAATCTGCCAGATAAACAAGAAAAATTTAATGTTACAGATAAGTATGTAAATGAGGAGAGTGAGCTCATTCAGAATTGTGACGTCACCTCACACTATAAAGCCTCTAACTCAAGTGAAAACGAACGAGGTGAATTCCTGATAGCAACGAGCTTTGGTGAGCTTCGTAGCAGTGAACGAGAGAGGTGTCCGATAGGATTTTGAAGTTATTCGATTTGTGGATCGACGATTATAGAAAGTCTTGAGAGTTTGAGGAAATAGGTTCCTAGTATATTGAGGTGACGATTAGGATCTTTAATTTATAAGAATTATTGTTTATAAGTTAATTCTTTGATTTTGTCGAATTCCAAAGGGGAATAGAATTAAGTTAGAAATAGATTGATTTGAGTTTGTCGGATTGATTCTTGTTGAATTTCATTGAATAAATTATTGTTTGATTTTTACTAAATACTGTATATAGTTTATTACTAGAAGTTTAATTAAATATTTGATTTTGTTATTGACAAACTTTGTCATTATTTAATTCGGTGCACGCTTAAAGTCCAGGCCTGGCACACTAACGCGAATCCGCGTAAAGTACCCGTTAGGGAACGGGTATTTCCGGCACACAGTAGTGTCGATAATTGTTGGAAAGTCGGAAAAATAATATAGTACTTTACAGTGTTATCACTGATGCACTTGCAGTATGATAGTGGTGATGTCTTGCACTTTCATGCAAGACAGAGGATCTCATATATAGCATTCAGCAGTTTCTATAACATTTCATCAATAACAAAGTCATGCACTTTCTCCTATCTGTCTATTCTGTTCTCTGGATCTTAATTCAAGAACTTTTGATTTTGGAATATATAAAAGTGTGATTTATTGAGGACATACTCTTTCAAGACTGCCAAATTTGTAGTATCATACTGCATGTAAGAAACATCAGAGGATCAATCACAGGGTACATTCGTAAAGTCAAACGAGTTAAACACATTAGTAATGAATCATTTGAAAAGTAGTAGTCTTGCTCAGTGCGCATGCTCTGCGGTGATGACGTTTCGAACGAAACTCTAATGAAGGTCACAAAGGAAATAGTTTATGTTGTTAAGAAAATGGTGCCTGACAATATCAATGTTTCTAAATCTACTCTAGTGTTTAAATTGTGAATTAAAAGGTGAAATGATTGAAATAACCATCCACCGAAAGCAATCTAAGAAAAATATTTTGGATAAGGCTGCACTAGCAACACTCATATCTTTGATTTTAGAAACATCCATTTAGTTATAAACGAATCGTTCAAAAAGTCTAACAAAATAAGAATAACAATGATGTCATTCTCGTTTAACTCGTTCGACTTTACAAACATATCCACAGTCAGCTATTGAACACACACACCTTAAAGTTTATATTTTTAAAATGGAGACAACACAGCAATATCCCTGTATATAAGGTCTCTGTATAGCATAAATAGCTGTACAAATAAAATAATTGTTGCTCACAACACAAAAAACTCCAGTAGTGAGTTTTGGTACTAATTTTCTTTTAAGGAAATGTCTTTTGTACACACTGAAATATTATGAAGCTAGATAGTTGCATTTGGAATTCTCTCTCCAGATAGCATTGAATAGAAATATTTTACATACAATCATCCAGTATATAATTTTTGTTTGAAATTGCATTAAAATTTGTAAGAAATTGTTAACACTTCATATTTTTTATTGAGATTTTCATTATTGAATTTAGACAAATTTTGAAGAAGCTTTAGATTTGTTATTTGAGAAATTATTGGAAGTAGCCAACTATCATAAGCAAAATTTGGCATTTATTAAATTGTTATTAACAATCCTAACTAAAATGGAACAACAGGTGAGTTTTTAATAATTAAAATATTTTTAAACTAATTAAAAAATTCTAATCAAAGACAAATTTTTTTAGATAAAACCAATCCATTTATCTACAATCGATAAAATCATTAAAATAAACAAAACGTTCTTAAAAAAATCAGCAATAAAGATTTTCACAAAGTTACAAGTGAACTATTTATCAAATGAAAACAGCAAATTGTATGAAAAGAAATTCAACAAAATTGAACATTTGTAGAAAATATTTATTTTGAAAATAATACAGTTAAAACATAGATCACTATGAGATTCTACTACATTCTTATATATATATTTTTTTATACATGATGTTCTATAATATTTTATCACCATCACCATCCGTTAAAGCATTACTGCTTTTTGTGAAATAAATAGAATTACAGCAGGTAAGCTTAAAACAATATTTTCAATTTTTCCATTTTATATATATATTATTAAGTACTAAAAACAGTGACTAGTATATTGAATAGTTTCTTTTTTTAATGAAAACAAAAAAATTTGTCAAAGAAAATAATGTACAGTGATTAACCATGATTTATCTACATACAAAGCTGTTATTTACAAACAAAATTTTTTACAATCAATTTTTACATATTTCTAAAGAACAAGTTATTTAATAAAATATTTAATTCCCAAGCACACTTATGTTTAAATTATCAAAGATTAGTTCCCGTACGGACAATTAAAGCAGAATTAATTTATAGAACTGGTGTAAAAATGATGTTGAATAAAGCAAATTTATCTAAAAAGATAGACATCACATCAATATGTTTGAAAAATTATTATGATATGTTTTTTTTATTTCTTTTAAGACAAAATTATGTATAAACAAAATATTTATCACTCATGTTTACAATAAAAACTTCTTTTTAACAAAAAGTATAACAATTTTATAATTAATAAATTAAAACTTCTTTTAATATACATTCTAACAATTCATTGAAATCAACAAATTATTCCAATTTATAAACTAATTCTTTTTCTCACTTTAAATATTAGAATATAATTAATTTAAAAACACAAAATATATTTAAATATGTTTGCAATTTAATATATAAATTTATTTTATACAGTTTAATATTGTATCTTCTATATATAAACTCTCAACTCCAGCAATGTTTACAGTATAAAAAAAACACTATAGAAAAATTAATTTTTTTTTAATTTTCTAACTTAATACCTGAAAAATTTTAAGTACAATAAACAATTAAATTGTTCCCTTTAACTAGTTCTTTTTATGTTGACTTCTTTCACTAATTTTCTAATTAAAATCAATAAAATAATAAATTTCTACATTTACCAATATTTTAAAAATTAAACTACTTGTACATAACTTGTTATAGTTTAAAAATATAATATAATATTGATAACCTTAAGAAAATTGAGTATTTCAGGAACCACTCTCAGTACTGCTGATACTTTTTGAGTATAAACAATCTTCAGATCTTTGTATGTATAAATAAAACTCACTCTCAATAAATACATCTGATTTTTTGATGAAATTATTATCCATCATTAATTATTTCAAATTCAATCTTACAATTTACAATAATCCATGAAAGATGTACTATAGCAAGCATTATTAAATGGTATATAATAAATTTTTATAAAAAATGTTAAAATAAATATCTGTAAATGAAATTAAGAATGAGATCTTAGCAATTACCATTCTTAGAATTGCATCAGAAATGATTTTTTTAAATAAATATTTTTATATTACTTCATAACTATGAAGGTAAATTATATGAAAGTAAGTCATTATATAAATATTGAAAATTAAACTATTAAATGCTTAAAGTCTTAATCATTAACTAAAATAATTGACAGTTGGCTAAAGCAGTTAAAGCACCAGCCTACCATTTTGAGAGACCTAGATCTGTTGGGTCCTGTATCTCACCACCTAGTCATTGTGGGTTTAGCTAACCCATGATTGGTATTGGGGAAAAAGGCCTTCTTAGTGTCCACAGAGTAGAAAGTGTCAAAAAACAAAATTTTTTTTTTAAATATTGATGCCGGAAGTCATATAGATTATTCTAACAAATACAAGATAATTTATAAATAATTATTGTTTAAAGTAACAAGCTTTTCTAACTGTCCAATACAATTTTTTAATCTATTATAAAAAAAAATACTTAAGCCACTATCTTAAGTATATAAGTAAAATTTATTGAAGTCATTTAACTACTAATTTAGTTGAATTTTATTTTATCCAAAGTATCTTTAATTAGATATAAATATTCATGATGAAACTTCAGCAAATTACACAATCCTATTTTCTAAAATATTCACATAATTTCAGTATTTAGAAAAGCATTTTGTTTATATTTATTTGATACATTTTTGATATTTTGGCAAATATTGTATATTGACTTATGAGATGATGTGATATGTTGTTTATATATGTCATAATTGGGCAGTTTGGTTAAAATAAATCTAATTAAAATTATTAATCAAAATAAACAGCTCATTAATGTTGCAAACCTACATAAACCTATTTGTATAAATTTAATTTTATTGCATATTTACATCGCTGATAAAGTTATGAATCTGATGAATGTATATAGCATACAAAGGTTGTAATTTGATACATCAATTTCTAAACTATAGTACATATTTCGTGGATATTGTAAAATTGTTCCAAATGCATAAATGACCTTAAAAATATTTACATTTGATGCTAAATTAACATAAGCAAAAGAAATTCTCACTCAAAACTGCAGTCTGGACGGAACATTGGATGGTTTAAAATATCTATTAATGTTTTCACTTCTTTATAATTATAAATTGTTATCAAACACAGCATATTCTATATTTATGATAAAAATTCCACAATAGAGATAGAATTTTTATATTCATAGCAATATTTATGTATCTACATATCTAATCAATGGTAATGCATATATAAATTCTTTGGTCACAAACTAAATTTGGCATTATATGAATGGAAGACCATAAAATAATATACGCAGGCAAAAAAAGATAACATTCAAAGAATCTGTATTAACAAATTTTGTAAAATGATGCAAATATTAAAGCAAAAGTGCATTAATCTAACTAATAATGAGAACTTAATTTATAAGGTTTTATAGATAACTGTTTTGCAAACTAAATGCAATTTTGAGTTAAATTAAGTACATACATACATAGGCATCAAACATTAGTCAACACTTAAGCTATAAACTATACTACATAATGCATATTTTGTTCAGCATATTGCTCTTTGGCATCTATAGAATATTAAAAGCAACATTTGGACAATGAATAAAATTTAAATCACAAAGCTTAGATTAAAATATTTAAAACTGTTTCAAAATTAACATTTATGATTATCTTACTTCCTTCCTCTCAGATCATTAAAGGTTTATTGCGATATTGCAGGTGTATGTTGCTGAATTTATGCACATTTTGCTTGATGTTTGTTGTTTGGCTCATATTCTGTATTTCTTATCAAAGTTATTCAAGTAATAATTTATTTTTCTCAAATGTTCTCAATATTTAAATAATTTTTTTTAATATTTTTTTTTAGAATTTTGTTAAAAATCAATAGTTTTCCATAATAATGTACAGTGATTAACCATGATTTATCTACATACAAAGCTGTTATTTACAAACAAAATTTTTTACAATCAATTTTTACATATTTCTAAAGAACAAGTTATTTAATAAAATATTTAATTCCCAAGCACACTTATGTTTAAATTATCAAAGATTAGTTCCCGTACGGACAATTAAAGCAGAATTAATTTATAGAACTGGTGTAAAAATGATGTTGAATAAAGCAAATTTATCTAAAAAGATAGACATCACATCAATATGTTTGAAAAATTATTATGATATGTTTTTTTTATTTCTTTTAAGACAAAATTATGTATAAACAAAATATTTATCACTCATGTTTACAATAAAAACTTCTTTTTAACAAAAAGTATAACAATTTTATAATTAATAAATTAAAACTTCTTTTAATATACATTCTAACAATTCATTGAAATCAACAAATTATTCCAATTTATAAACTAATTCTTTTTCTCACTTTAAATATTAGAATATAATTAATTTAAAAACACAAAATATATTTAAATATGTTTGCAATTTAATATATAAATTTATTTTATACAGTTTAATATTGTATCTTCTATATATAANAAAAAAAAAAAAAAGTTTTCAGAAGAGATGATAAACACTTTTTCTAGTTTCAATTTTACAATAAAATGGTAAAAAAACTTACTAGGTTACAAATTCTCTGGAAATAACAAATGATGTAAACATAAGCCGTTATGGCTTATGTTTATTTTAAGCACCAAAAGAGATTGCACTTTGATGCTTAAAATGTTATGATTTACACATAAATTCAACTTCAAAATACAGCCACTTACTGCATCACTATTGTCACAATATTTTTTTTGCAGCAGAAAACATTGCATTTAGAAAATGTATTTACAGAAAGATGGCATTTAAATGTTATGGAATTGCATGCTTCAATTATGATCAATTGCAATCTTTGTGTAACTTCTAAGGTACAATATATTCTTGAATGTAATTAATCAACTTTTAAACATTTCTGCAGTTGATTAATCAATAAAATATTAATGCATTTTATGAACTGAACTTAACATGTGCAAAAAACTTTCATTTAATAACAGTTGATTATGTATTTAAAAATTTATATAGAAAAGACAGTTATATTTTACAATAGATTAAGAGAAGGTTTTAATGTTACTTATGTACTGTACAGGATGGTCCAAAAAAAACATGATAAAAAGTATTATAAATGACTACCAAGGAAAAATTGACAGTGGCTAAGCACAAAACCAAATGTTTTTAGTGACAATACAAATAACATTTAATGTAGCAGGTGTTCAAAATTTGTGGTTACAGTGTTATAGATTCAGGTTTGAAACTCCATCAGTAGAGGATGTCAGAATTCAGTGCATGAATAATGGCTGATTTGATTAGGTCCTCAAGTGAATTGGGACATTTTGATAAACTTTGCTTTTCAGATAGCCCCAGAGGAAATAGTCACACAGATTAAGGTCAGGACTGTACGGGAGCAGTCAATTCCATGTCCAGTGAATTTTTTGGCATCCAATGCAATGATGCGCTTGCTGAATGCTATTTTGCTATTTTCAGACATGAAAAGATGTCTGCACTTGAAACTCATTGTCACAACTGATTTGCTGGTATTGGTTAATGCAGAATGGAACTCATTCCTCCAGGATAGCAAAGTCTTGTTCAAGTAATGCATGGTATTTCTGCCCAGTGACTGTACCATCTACAAATATCAGGCTAATGGTTTTCTTTGATGATTTGGCACACCACCATAGTAATGTTTTGTGGATGCAAAGGTGAGACAAAAATTTTCTTGCAATAAATAATTGTTCTTCCAGAGTCATGAGTTCCATTTCCAAAATTGTTCAAACCTGAAAACTCAACTTTCACTTAAAATATCATTACATATATGATTACAACATAGCAGAACTAGACAGCCATCAATAAGCATGCAATTGTGAGAATCACATACTTTTTATTGTGTTTTTTGACCATCCTGTAAAAAATTGTTGATTAATAATCTGAATGAACTAATAATGAAATATAACAGATAAACACACAAATGCATAAAATATAAAAAAGACAGAGATAATTCCAAAATCTTTTATCCTTAAATAAATACTGATTTATTCTATCATTCCAAATTTGGGATATAAACTGTCAAGTTTATATCCCAAATATCTCCATTGGACTAAATTTTTAATGACCCCCAAAAATATCTTATCAACTCCTAAGGGTTGATATCAATCACTTTGGAGACCTCTGTCATAGCCCGAGACAATTTAAGTATTTACTAAAACAGAAAAATATTTTATTATGTTTTGCAAAAATGTTGCAGATTATTGCAGATAATTTTATAATATACTAACAAAAATTGATTAAATAAAAATTCTTACAAAAAAAATTCACTTTTTAGATAATGATAACTACACTGAATTGATTTCAAAACTCAATATTTACAACTTACAACTTTATAAGATTCAAAGTACAGTGGGTGATCGGTTAACGAACAGATCAGAAAACGAACACCCCACAGAACAAACACAAGAAGAAGCGACATAAAATAATGAATACCGATTGGTCTTCCCTTGTCTTCGGGCAACAATTCGAAATTTTTCTGAGTATGGGAGACGTCGACATCGACACTCAATCCGTTATATAATGATCAAATAGTATTCCTCCGAACTTTGAAATTGTCCCTTGTAATTCCAGACTTTTATTTTTCTGACAAAACAATTCTTTTATGTATTCGCAAGACTATCGGGTAGACACTCATTAAGTTATGCGTCTGTTTTTCTTTTTGAAAGGCGAGAGTATAATAACAAAGGTAGAGAATGAGCAGAACATGCCTAATGTTGCTGGGCAGTATGGCGTGAACAGGTCTACAGTAGGCTGCAGTTCAATCATATTTAAGAAAAATACTGTATAATCAAGAAGACTCAAGCAGCTAAAGGAATAACAAAACTCACATCTGAGAAATTAAGAACATCGAAGAGTTCATAATGGAATGGATCTAACGACAGAAGAACGCCAAGAAACTCAGCGAGATATGTTTTCTTCTGAAAAAGAGGATTAATGCTGATATCTGTTATTAAAGATCCATTGAAGAAGTGGGAGGATATCAGAACAACGGTCTTAGAATGGCATCCAAATCAGATTGAGGCTTGGGGATTTCTACAATGCAATGCTATTAATTACTTCAAAAATCCTGAAGAAAAAAAAGCAATCAACATTAGACAGATTCTTTAACCCTTTTAAACGGAAAAAACATGACT